ATAAAGTGGCGATAAGTAATCGTAAGGGCTAATTTTTATAGTGATCTAAATTGTAGAACCGATTACTTATAACTCTGGTCAAATTTGCAGATCAATTGGTCAGATTCAAAATCAAATCATTTTGAACTTGGCTAAACGATCGGCAAATTTGACCAGAGTTATAAGTAATCAGTTCTACTATTTGAATACGATAAAAACGCATTTTAAATATAATCAGCTAGATAAGTGGAATGAATTAATAAGAAGTATTTGATGAAAATATTGGCGCAAACCTTTGTTTGAAAATGTGATTTGAATCGGGTATGATTGAATGCATGCGGGCCAACAAATAAATAAAAAAAAATAAATCACTGCAATGCATATGTAATATGCAAATATTAATTTTGTTTTTTTTTCTTTTTTTAAGAGTGAGGCCTGGCCATATGCAAATATTGATATAATAAACTAATAAATATCACGCGAAGTGTATACATAATATATTATATATTATATAATAAATAAATATACAGCAGGTTTTAAACTAATATGTTCAGGCGTGCATAATTAATAGTATATGCATATAAATAGTTTAAGGCAGATTTTGAAACCAGTTTACGTACGTACATACGTATGTGTTTCCCAAACAGTGTTCGAACGGGTTTCAAAGCACAAACTAGCAGATTTAAGCAGGATAGCATCCCTAATGATAATATACAAAACAGCAAAATGGTTTGTATTTATCTAAGCAATTATGAATGATTTTTGACAACAGCCAATCATTTCGGAATAGAATATTTATAACATTTTGCCTTTTTTTAGTCGACCGTAACTCGATCAATCGATCAGAAATTTTTCACCAATCATTCATTACGGCCAATTTTGATTGTGATCTAAATAGAAGAACCGATTACTTATAATTCTGGACAAATTTGCAGATCATTTGGCCAAGTCAGAGTTTTTGCTCCCTAATTTGGCCAAATGATCTGCAAATTTAACCAGAATTATAAGTAATCGGTTCCGCTATTTAGATCACAATCAAAATTAGCCGTAATGTCTAGTTATCCGTACTTATTACGGTAATTTGAGTGTAACAGTAGTTAATTTTAGAAGTATCAGGGGTATCACTTAGTTGTATCAAAAAAGTATGCACAGATATATCAAACCTGATTGTTTTACTTCTATTATATTACTAGTCATTAATTTCAATTGTCAGATTTGTTTTTGGCTGTTTTCTCAATTTAGTTTATAATTAAAAATCGTGAATTAAATCTTAAATTATAATGCTTAATAAAAATCCAATTTTAGTCGGAGTTTACGTAGATTATTTTGGTGGTTATGCACAGTTCGCTTTGAAGATGGATTAATTACCTGGTCAATTAATTTACATCAACGCATGTTATTATTGATGGCTGAAAAAAAAAAACGTTCATTATATATTACAAATTCACAAATATTACATTAAAATTTTTTATTTAAATAAAAATAAATTTATTATTATAATGTTACTAAATACTCCTAATTTATTATCTACATTACTACCTAAATGTACATTTGCTCACTCTAATTGAAGTTTGGCATGATTATCAACCAGCCATTTATCATACATAAAATTATCAATTAAAAAAAGAGCACATTAACATTTATATCTAATTTGCAACTTTTTTTAAAAAAAAAGATGATGAAATAGGCCGTTATTCTTTTACTGCCTTCATTACGATCATTTTCTCCGCTAGTTACCGTTTAGGTTGATTCGACTTAGAATTAAGATTAGCTGATTTTGAGTCGGAGTTAATCTTATTTATGATCGGCGCAGCAACAGATTTATTCTTAGTCCGTTCATCATTGATAACTTTGTTCTTAGTCTGTTTATCATTGATAGCTTTGTTCTTAGTCTGTTCATCATTGATAGTTTTGGTGTGTTTAATTATTTTTAGTCGGTTCTTTGATTTTTTCGATTTTCTAGATTTTTTCGATTTCTTTGATTTCTTTGATTTTTTTGACTTTTTCCTCTTTTTGGCTTCAATAATCTTTGATTCATCTATGCATAATAGATCTTTAGGATCATAAGTAAGTATTGCAGAATTGCTAGGAGGGCATAGTGAAATATTTCTGTGTAGATTATGTCCACGTTCCACAAGTGTTTTAAATGGTACAACTGTTCCGAAAAGATCTAACGTTGGTAACTTTCTATAATCAGGTAAAACACCATTTGGTAGTCCCTCAGATATAATATCATGCTTCATAAGTGGTAATAAAAAACCCTTACGAGTTTCTTTATGAACGTGTACACCTTTTTCATGATGGTTAGTGGAAAGGCTGACAAAATTAATATAATTTGGATAAAGCATCACATATCCTCTAAGATAAACGAGCTCAATAAAATAACGCTTCCAAGAATTATGCCACCTATTTGAACGACTTTCAGGAATATTAATGTCTTGCAAACTAGGGTCCATTAATCGAGTAGATATATAATGATGAAATTCACGCCATATTTCAGGGAATAATACAGCACCCCAACTACATGGTATTTGACAAAGATATGGACTTCGTCTATTATATTTTGCAGAATCCAAAACGAGAGCAGCATTAAATTTCGTATGCTTAGGCAAAGTTAATTCAATGTGTTTTGAATTGTAAAGGCTGACACCATACATTCTATTGCTAAAAATTTTATCAGGACCATATCTATATTTTAAGATGGCATATTTAGCCCATATGTAGAAAAATGGTGAAACTTCAATATCATCCTCAAAGATGAAGGCATAATCATTATTATCAGCCGGATAATAAGATTCTACAATGTTTGCAACCAAACCACCTTGAACTGTGCGACGTAGAATATTCTTTTTGCCAAAACGCCATTCAATAGCATGAGAATATTCAATGGTTTTTTGGTCAGCACCCTCATCAATATTTATGGTGAGAGATACGTTGTCACCAAGATAAATAGATGACATAAGTGATTCTACGAGACGTTTTAAAGAAGCTGGGCGATCATATGTAATTACTTGTACACGAAATTTTGGTGTGTTCCATTCTAAAATGTATATGAGTGATATGAATAAAATAAATATATAAATAAAAAATAAATAGGATAATTATTTAAATGCTTACGTTTAAGAGCTTCAATTGGCAAATCTGCTATGAACACTATGTTGTTCATATATTCAATAGGTATTGCAATCTTTGTGAATTCTTTATTAATTTTGGATGTCGCAATTGTAGCAGCGTCAATTCCACGCATCACAAAATCTTCTAAATTTTTTATATAAATCAATACAATCGGTCTAAGTTGATTTACCATGTGAGTTGTTTCTGTAAATATAGACGACATAAAATTTTCATTGTCTGATGAACGATTTCGAATACCCAAGTCGTGTACGAATACGTTACATTCAGGTATTTCAAAATTAATCTTTTTTAGCTCTTCTCCACACATTCCACGTTCTTTACCAGTAACTACTACATGAATAAACGTATTGCTCGACTGTTTCGATAAATTACAATAAATCGGTTGTAAAGCTTTTGCCTGTTGTTCTCCATCGACGATTATGACAATATTATTAGTATGACTTTCTTGAAATATCGGTGAATTTATTATTATGTCAGTTTTGCTATTATGAAAATAAATGATCAACACAAGGATAAATGAGATGAATAAAAGATTTCTAATGGTTTTCGGGGTAAAATATGGATGTCGATGTCGGTATGGTAATTTCTCAAGGGAAGACGGCATTGTTTGTTAAAGTTAAGGAAAATGAACAAAATAGTGACAGGTTGGCTTTCGATATGTAGTAATGTGTGTATAGCCCAGAATATTTAAACACGGTAAATATGCAAAATCGAATTTCTAGAATGTGTTGCACATATACATAAACAGGTCTAATGTATCACTAATAAATTATTTGTTATGTGCCACGCATTAATTGTTATTATTTTTAAATAAAAAAAGTATATATATGTATTACCATACATACATGATTTATTAAGCAGTATCATGTTGCACACCTCTTCTAAAACTTTGGAATTATAAACCTGTTGGTGGATGGCGGATTAGGTTTATTGAATTGAATCTGTGATGATGTTGTGCATGTAGGTACATTTGCCTAAATTAGTAAAAATTAATTTGACTGGTGTCAATCAATAACTTTCGGTTGCAAAGTATGAGAATTTTGGCTATAACTACAAATAAATATCTAAATTCAGTGATGTACAATACAATTATAGGAACCATATTATAAATTTTATACAGTACGATCACATGAATGTGTAACATGAAATGTGAGGAGGATGGTTTCGTTCAACATTTTTGATGTCTCTTATGCTGATTTTCTCAAAAAATCCTTTCTTAATAAACATTATGGTTTTCGTTTATACAATTTTGGTAGTTATAATATTTCTATTAACGAAATAGTTGATATCATTATTGCAGCATGTATTGAGATTACTATTTATGTAGTAATGCATTTGAGTGCCGTTAAAAGAAAACCCGAAAATTTAAATATAATTCATATTTAAATTTTCGGGTTTTCTTTTAGCGACACTCATTTAAACTAAGACTTTTGAGAATAAGACTTAAATGTATATTGCCATATAAAGACTTGAAGTGACGAATTTTTGATTAATTCTTTTAAAATATTTTATTTATATTGGATTGATGAGTAAGTCGTTAATTTTTTTATTCATTGGTTTTTGCAGATTACTTTTTCCCCATTGACAGTATAATGATGTCATTATTAAGATCAATGTCATTACTCGATTGTGTGCTAGATTTGTGGCGCAGCCAAAAATCTTTAATGTTCATTTATTCAGAGTTATGGGTTAGACTGTGAGTAGAAGAAGGGAGTTTAAATAGTAAAATTGCCCAATGAAAACTTTTATTAGAACACTGAAAGTGGTTTCTTATGTAAAATTTCGAGAAATAAGCTATTTTTACAAAACGAACGTTTCGAATTTTCTTGATCGTGTTATGTTGCACCTAATCTTGAAATCTGATTCGTAATTCAGTAAATATGCACCGCAAACCTAGCACACATTCAAGGGGTGCAGATAAATGTGATTGCTACTGAACGAGCGTAACAATTCGGTTTAGAACGAATATATTTGAGGTATTAATCGCTATGACTTAATTTCAATTTAATGCGCTTTAGTGTTAATGAATCTTAAATGTGTAGTCGATAATTATTATCCGCAACTGAGTGAATAATAAATTGGGAATGATGTTATAAACCAGAAATATTGAATAGTTAAATTGTAGGGGTGTTACGGTCCGTTCAGTCCGGTCTTGACCGGGTCGTGGTCCAGGACGGTTCACAAACCGAGTAATAAATCGGTTGGTTAGCAAATTTTAAAAATACAGTTCAGGGATTTTCAAATTCGTATAACGCAGAGCATTTCTATTTTTGGTAAAAAATCTTCAATTGGAAAACAAAATTTGTACGTAAGTACATACCAATCATTGGCTGTGGTATTATTTGTCGCACAGCCACCTTTAATGATTCCACGGATTCCTAGACTACATATTCATATACAGTCTTCCTCCTCTATAATCACCTCCTATATAATCACAACTCCCATATAATCACATTAATTTTTGAGACA